TTTATTTTTGGAGATATCTTTATCAAATTTATCAACACCCTGCATAGTTATGCTGCCTATATTTGAATTAAAGCGATAAAGCATCAGGCGACAGTATAAAAAGCAAGCTTTCATTTCGCACCTCTGTTTTGTGTCTGCAAAGAAATTTAATCTATCGCTTAAAGTGCAAAGTGTGACGAAGCACTTCCTAATAACCCCTTTGCCAAATCAATGCTCTTAGGAGAAGCCATAGAATGATTAGTGCAAGCTCTAGGGGACAGTCGACAGACGGCATGGCAATTTGTTGTAACTAACCAAACAGATCGTTAGCGAATGCTCACACCTATGCCGTGTGCAAAATTGGCTGCCCAGGCCCCTTGCCCAGCCGTATAAACATTGTCTGCATTCGTCGATATTTTGTATATGGATTACGTCCGCTGCTGTCGATGTTGCTACAATTAAATGCGATGCGCATGAAGAAAAGTAAAGCCTAACTCGCCTGTCTTTGACTGCCACTGAAAGCGAAAGCGAAATTGTTATTTTGCAACATGCAACTGCAGCAACAACTGCAACAATAACCGCCACAGCAACAAGCTTAGCAGCGGCGTCTCGCAATAATTGCGAGCAAATATTACATGTGAGCGTTGAAGTCGCAGAGCCACAGTGGGGCTAATTGAATTTGAATGTTGCAAAAATAATCAATGCTCAATATTGAACTTTCTGTTCAAAAAGTTTAGAAATGTTTGTTCTCTGTTGGGCTTTCTGCTTCTACTTTTCTATTATAATGCATCCAGCACTAAGGCTGACACACGTTTTTACAATCAATTATGGTAGCAAAAACTGGTTGCACATACATATATTTTTCTTATTTGTCCTTAAATACGATTTTTCTGATACTGATACTGAATCTCTTGATAAAATTTCTGATGCATTCATTTTAGCAACTGCCTCTGTAAAAACTATCATTTCTGCTACGCCTCCCAATAGATTCATTCCACTGTGCGCCGCTGCTAGCTGACAGCGTCAGTGGGGGCTGGCCCCGACTAACTGCATATTATCGAGACAGTCGATGACGATAAAAACTACAGCTACAACTACAACAACAACAGCCTAGCTGACATCATAATTATCGATCGTACTGTAGCTGCCGCTGCTCAAGTAATTATGCCAAAAGCGCGTTTATTATGTGTGCGTGTGTGTACGTGTGTGTGCTAGTGTGCGCGTGTGTGTGCGTAGCGTATGAACGAAAGAAAAACCAAGGCATATTTCATTTAAAATGAAAAGTGAAAATGATACAGAAAAGACGCCAACGAAATCGATCAGCGTGTTGTCAGCACATAAATAGAAAATCAAGGCGAATTTAAGATACCCTGCAATTATTTTATATTTATAGCTCGTATTTAATACTACATTAATTTATATCAATTGTTTAAATCAATTGTATAAATATATTTTATTTTTTAATTAAAAACTAAGTTTTAACAACAAAAGTTAGGGTAAAATCTCCAATTTGAAAAGCAAGACTGCTGACATAGCGAAGAGATGTGCAGCAAGGGTAGAAAAGCGGCTTGTGGCGGTATAAAAAAGAAAATTGCTCAAAAAATAGTTGTCTGAGCATTTGCTTATTTAGAGCGTTCCGCGCAGACATGTTTGCGGCGTGTTATGAAATACTTGGTAGCATAATTATACCAGCTACAACAAGAACTTATGCAATAAAAAAAAAATGTAGGAAAAGGCGGTTAAGCTGTAATTTACTAACGCGAAACCGAAATATTATTTAGGTTTTATATTTGCAAAATGGTTTTACAAAATTGTTTCATCGCTAAAAAAATTTATACAAAAATATTGCATTTATATTGAAATGATCCAGTGTTGGGCTAACTTAGCTCAGATGGCAAAATGTAGATGCCTTACGAAACATCCCGATGATGCAACTTCGATTTCAACTGCAATTTCATATCCGATTGGGATTGAAACAGCCAGGACATCTGCTAATGTGATCGCTTTTGCATCGATTGAACGTCTTCTCTTTGGCTCTTGCCCATATCAGTTGCGTGTAACATATTAATGCTTTCGGTGCCCGCATGCTCATTACTTGCCTCATCATCTGTTTCCACCACCATCTGCAGTCTGTTCCACAGGGCACAGGCCGAGCAGACAGCAGCAGCAGCAGCGGTTACCCAGGTGTTGACTGAGAGACAGGTCGCATCATTTTTAAACGGTTCGCTTTCAGATACAGGGATTTTATCTTTATTTAGCATATTTGAATGCTGCCCAAAAAATAAAAACTAAGTCTCAAGTCTCTATCAAAAACAAAACAAAGCTAAGAAAATTAACAAAATATTTTTAAGATTTTTAAATTTGAAAACTTTTTGTTGATGTTGTCCACATGTCACTCCGAATAGGTTTCCGTATGACAATATTCAGACCCCGTCTAACAGCGCTCATGCAGGACGCGCTCTAAGCAGGCGCGTCATTATATTTCATCATATCCTACATAGAATAAATGAATCTCATTTCTAAAACAGTTGAGCATTGACTTTGACGGATGAAGCGCACATGGCTAATTGAGAGTTGTATTCATTAGCTTGTTGCCCCTCTCATCAAAGAGATTGCCAAACACGCAATTGGAAGACGGGCAGCGCGAAAGCGAAAGGTGTTGTGATGGCTGCATATGCTCCAGTTTCCTGCTGTCCATTGCCGTTGAATCCGATCTTGTGACTCGTTTTTGTCGCTTTCATGACATAATGGCATGTCGAGCGTTGGCGAATTTGATTGATGGTGCTTCGGCTGTAGCTGGCGGGAGCCGAGCTGAGAGCTTTAATTGATGGAGTGTCAACCGATTGCCAAATGTGTTACAAATCAATGAAAATGCAATGCGAAATGCACATTTTGTTTGGTTGGCCATCGGTCGACTGCTTAGCAAATTTGTATTTACAGATTTGCAACAGAGCCCGGACAGCAAACTTTTAGCGAGTTTTTATTTACCTTAGCATCTTCATTATGCCCAAACACTGTCCCCATCTAGTTAGCTACCAACTCACCTCACATCATGCTGTCACAGCCGTTTGTCGCCTCATACCCGGTCCAAGCTTCACTGGCCGACTTCTTCCCATCTTTACCAGTCTTGTTTGCTTTTCGCTTTAACGGCTTTCGGCGCTGTCAACAAGGTTCATGCCAGGGTAAACAGATTATGTAAAAACACGAGTACTTTGAGGCAGCTCCCCACTACGAGATACCCTGAGCCCAGCGACCACTATATTTTTAGACGCGATAGTTTAGAGGGGGTAGGAGGACCCAGCTCGTCCTTATCATTTCAATATCATATTTGGTTTTTATTTTTTGCTGCGCCATTCCTTTTATTTTCGCATTTGAACCAAACTCACTTGAAATCGAAGCAGAAACAATTTTAAAATTTTGAATCAATTAAATTTAAACCTTATGCAAATCAACGCCTAATAACAGTTTGTATCTGTGTCCTCATCCATCTTTTCTCAACGCCCTAGGGATCGTGCATTTTCAGCCACGAAACATTGCTCGTCATCTTTCAAAGCTTGACCCTCAAGGCGCAACTCGATCGATTCATTTTCGACCGAAACACTTTCGATCGATTCGTTTTCGATCGATTCATGTTCGATCGATTCATTGTCAGTCTTCGACGCAAATTTCAAATTTCGCAGCTTGACCCACATAGCCCAAGTGGAGTACATCACAACTGCGCCTGCAGTTAACCAAGCGTTGCCCTCGAACATATCCGCTCCAGAAGTAGTTGTTGCTGGTGCAGGTGCCGCTGGTGCCGGAGTAGCTGGTGCATCAGCCATTATGAAACTATGGAAAGGAAACAATGTTCCATTATTCTTCAAATAAACGGCAACATTTAACTTACTTTTAATATTTTCCTTGCTACGCGTCGTTATTGTTTGTGAGAGCTCTTGGTAAAGAATGCGTTAGGAAATAAATCGAAAATCAAATAATTTGTGTTTAGAATTCGAAATTTTTTAAACTAACGTCTTTTACAGAATGAAGAATTTGTTATAAATTTCTTTAAAGTTTTGTGTTGCTTTGGGATCGAAGTGTTGAATGAGAATGATGAAAATTCCCAATTCTATTCAAAGGTCGGAAAATTTTTTACAGCCGCCTGCTGAAGTTAATTTATATTTCTACAATTGTTTTAGAAAAAAAAAACAAGTGTTCAGTCCGACTTGGAGATACTTCTGCTTTCCTCAGTCGCGCAAAATGATAAGTGGATATGATAATTGATTATTAAGAAATTATATCTGAACAGGTAGGCAAAGATGGCAATCATATACTGACATTTGCAAAAAAAAACTAAGGCATATCGTCAAAAAGTGAAATGTATTGATAAAAACTTACATGTGGCATACCCCATTTTTTTATGCCCGGAAAATGTTAAAAAAAAAACTTCGCAAAAAGCATAAGCAATTATTTTGGATCCCTTAATATATATAAATAAATTCTTGATCAGAACGAAGAGATATGTCCGGAAATAAGACGATATCTTAACCCCCCCAACCCCGTCTTTTGGTACAGTGTACACATTCTTAGCATATTTCACTTCTAGTTGCCTTTACCTCCTAAATTACCCAAATTCTCTTCTAGCCACACTAAAATACACCTCATGCGAAAAGCTCGTTTGTTTTGGCTTTAATTAAAAATATACTTAAAAAAAATTTCATCAATTTGATTTGAACGACTTGACACTGCCTCTATTAAACAACTATACCAACATGTTTTTGTAAAAATACACTACAATACAAATTTAATTGTAATCCTGTAGAACTTATCGGCAGATAGAATATTCATATATTTTTAAAAAGACAACAGCATTCAAATTATTGCTTAATCTGTGGAGGAGGCGGGGTTGATGATAGGTATAGAATGAGAAGCTACACGTCTAGGTTAAGTGAACTACGATCGTATGGACACAGTTCCGAGATGCAACCATTTTGAATGGTAGCATATTTGGAGCGACCCACCTCAGTTAGACAAAACGGATTTAATTTCTTATACAGTTTTGAATTTTGGCAGTTTATTTTTCTTGCACCCCACTTGTCATAGTAGCACAAACGACAATTAGGCAACAGCAAATTGTTTGGTGTAAGTGAAAGTGTATGTGTGTATTAATGTTCGAGTGGTTATGAATGTAAAGCGTAAAAATTGACTTGCGACCCCCCTAAAATCGCAAGCATTTCAACGCCTCAAAGTGTCTTCCGTGTCTTCTAAATACAATGCGCGTGTGTCTCTATCCCCGTCCACTTGTTTCAATTAACTTTTTTCGACGCTCGTCATCTTGCGTAGCTTGACCTTCAAGGCGCAACTCTATCGACTCATTTTCGATCGATTCGTTTTTGGTGGATTCATTTTCGATCGATTCATTGTCGGTCTTCGATGCAAATTTCAAATTTCGCAGCTTGACCCACATAGCCCAAGTGGAGTACATCACAACTGCGCCTGCAGTTAGCCAAGCGTTGCCCTCGAACATATCCGCTCCAGAAGTAGTTGTTGCTGGTGCAGGTGCCGCTGGTGCCGGAGTAGCTGGTGCATCAGCCATTATGAAACTATTGAAAGAAAACAATATTCTATTATTTTTCCAAACAAATTGAGCTATATTTTACTTACTTTTATTATTAACCTTGCTACGCGTCGTTATTGTTTGTGAGAGTCCTTAGAAACGAATGCGTTAAGAAATAAATCGAAAATCAAATAATTTTTGTTTAGAATTCGAAATTTTTTAAACTAACGTCTTTTGAGAAATGAAGAATTTGTTATAAATTTCATAAAAGTTTTGTTGTGTTTTGCAATTGAAGCGCTGAATGGGAATGATGAAAATTCCTAATTCAACTCAAAGGTCGTAAAATTGTTTACTGCCGCCTGCTGAAGTTAAAAACTGTTCAAATCGAAATACAAATTTGGTATTATTTTCAGACATATAAAACTAAATATTTTCACTTTTACTTGTACTTACTTATATATTATTAAGTGAATTTCTATGTTAAATTTAAATGTTGTTTCCTATAGGAGCTCTAGTCAACGAATGAAATTAACTGGGAAAGCGAGTACTAGTCCTCTGAATTTGAATTCAGCAGCCTACTGAGTTCAATCTTAACACTAAATTTCGATTAAGTACAATGGAACAAATCGAACCTTAAATGTGTTAAAAATATTAACAATATTATAGACTGGTTAAAGGTATTCCATTTTTAAAGGAACATGAATCGTTGAAACTTGTTAAAGACAATCGCTTATTGAGGTCTGTAGAAACAGATCTAGAAATATAAACATGTAGTCATATATATTAGTTAATGGAAGCGTGTTTCACACTTTTCGCAAAATGTGGGCCTCCTCGATGGAAATGCAAGTCACAGTGTTTTAGGGGGAAGATTCGCCCTATATAAGAACCAATTAGGCACGTGTTTCAACATCTTTTGAAATTTATCCCGGAACGAAGTTAAATTTACGAAAAATGGTTCTATGAAGGTTTTTTTGCATTCCATCTGATCGCATTCAAAATCATTTTCAATGATCTTTGTGAAAATTCATTTGAGACGTATTACATACTTTTCGCAAAATCCGCCCTCTTTGAAAGGCATTTCAAGGTTTCAAGGTTTTACAATTCGTGCCTCAATTTTATTTTCAAAACAAATTTTGTATATTTTTGTATTTTGTATAATAGAAGGTTACTCGTGCGGTCTTCATCTGGCAGTCGGGCGCACCCGACCAGTCACTTTTACTTGTTCCGCCAGCAAACGGACTTAGGGCAATAAAAGGCAACGCGATTCTGGCAGATTTTGTGCCATGGTGCGGCGAATACTGTAAAACTGCATTGTTTTAATGCATTTGCAATTGCAGGGGCCCAAATTTTTGAGGCGTTGCATTGGGCGTGGTCAGTGAGCGTAAACATTTTGGCAGTGGCAGTAGCCAACAACCAGGCGCTGGAGCTGGCAATTGGAACAGACCTCAGAGCTCAGAGCTCCGCTCTCGCCCATTTTCATTGTGCAATTGGAAACTTTATGTAACAATAAAATTTTGCGCCAGGCTCCGAAAAAAAGGATGAAACGAACAAAGCGCCCAAGGCAGACAAAGTAGAATACAAAAACTAAAGCCAACTTCGCGCTGCAGCCTACTTATGGGCGCTACGAAATCGGGGGGAACATCTGAAGCGCAGCCTGGGTTGTTGCCGGAACAGAGGCCCTAGCTGGAAGCAGCTGGAGCAGCCGCATTTAACGCTCGGCATCCGTGTTGACTTTCGACGTGGTAAATTATGCTTGGTGCCACTTTTTCCTTGCTTCTTTTTTGTACATCCTTTGCCATGAAATTGGGTTGTATGCATGTGCAAGCATTAGGTGGAATAGTACAAACGTCCAAGATGGCAATAAAATGCGCTTTGGGAATATGTATCAATAGGAAAGAGAGTATATAAATTTTGCTAGAAGTCAAGCTAGGTCATAATAGTTTTCTATTCAAGAAATAAGTTCTTAAACTAATGAGATTTGTTTTTAAATTGTTAGCTATTTGGGACATTGTCGTTGATTCTTATAAGACTTATATTAATAAAAATTATATTGAAAAAAGGGAGGAAGTTATTTAAATCTTCTTACGTATGCGGCTTATAAATACACATGTCTTAAAATGGCTACAAAGCTATTTTTATTATTGTTTTAGTTAATATTAATATTATTTTCATTGTTTTAAATTTATGTATTATTATTATTCTTATGTTTATTGTTTTTCGGCCTGACTGACTAGACAAAATCTTATCTTCCTGGAAATAATAGAACATATCTTGTACAGGGTATTGCCTGGTCAAGCTTCATGAAAGTCCCTGTGCAATTGTAGCATTGTTTTCATTATTTTACTCTCGTATTTGTTTCTGTTTGCTACTGCGGCTGCTGCCAGCCGCGCGGGGTCCTAAACGAAGGAACAGAAACAAATATGGCAAAGGGTCGTAGGCAGCTACAGGCGCCGTGCATTTAATTTATGAACTTTGACCAACGTGCGTTTAATTTATTGAGCTGCCGCCACTGCTCTCGAGCTGCGAGTTCAATTAGCAGGCAGTCAATAAATTAGCAACGGACCAGCTTAAAGCCAAAGTCGAAAGTGTAGTGCTCGCTGGCGCATTGATGGATTTGTGGCATGCTCGCTGGCAACAGGCTGGCGCCATCGATGCACTGGTTTTTCTTTTTTTTTTTTTTTTGTGGCAGCATTTCGCATTGACGTGCTACATTTTTTACACAGCCCACAAGTACCACCAGATTTTAAGAAATGGCCAACAGCTGCCGTGGTTTTTATATTCCGCAGCCATAGGTAACACAATTTGGCGAGTTCTCATAAGCAATGCTAAGAATTTAGGACCGGTCGAGTAGCGGCAGCCATTTACTAGCCTAAAATCTAGATCCTCAATTGTCAGTTGGCTAAATAGCTGAATCACGGCGTTAACGGAACTTTAGCTAAGCTCTAGTTAAGGAACTTTGCTATATAGATAACTGCCGTCATGCATACTAGTTTCTTCTTCAGTTCATCATAGTTTCTCCGTCCAGATTTATAATGTCATTGCATTACTAAGGCACACGTGTACCTCATTAGCCAATAACAATCATCACCGACCGCTCGGATATCCATTCGATTTATGGCCATTTACTGCTCAACTTTATTTAACTTGCCCCAATGCCCATTTAGTTATCAACTTTGCTCGCATTTCGCATTAGGGCTACCAAGTTTTTGGGGGCACAACACGAAACACGTAAGGCGAAAAGCACTTTTCGCACGCAGTTTTGGGCCTCGGGGTTGGCTTTTATGGTTTATAGTTGTCTCCGCGTTGTCTTCGCGTCTTTGCCTTGAAAGCGCCATAAATCTTTTTATGATTTTTGCTTAGCACTGTCTCCGACTCCGAGTATGACTGTGACGCATACAAATTTTCGATGCGTGTGCCAATATATACATTTCATTATATATGTTGCTCGGAATTTATTTAGCCGGCTCAAAAAAGAAAAACGAAATGGTTACCAAACATTTCGTGGCAGCACGCAACGCCATTTTGGCGACTGCCATCACGAGCACCGCGGGCGATACGAACACATACTACTGTGCCCCAGAGTTGAGAACCCCGAGCCCGATTCTGATTGGGATTTGCCAACCATGGCGCCGGCAAAGACAGCAGCAGCAATGACGCTGACGAGCGCGCCACAGTTGGTTTGGGTTTGGCATAAGGCAGGCGCCAGCAAAGTTGTAAAATCGCCAAATGGCTTATAAAACCAAACAAAAAAAATTGCTGGAATTGTTTTTCTTGGGCCAATACCCTGCAAGGCATAAGGAAGTCAGATCCAGTGCCAGTTGCCATGGTAGAAGGAAGTGCGGTCCAAATACTAATCAAAATGTTCCATTCCCTTTCAATATTGTCTTCTGCGGTCATCCTAAAGGTTGTTGGACATAACACCGACACATAAATACCAATAGATTATGTTTTTGGTACGACCTCGGATATTTTAGAAGAACAAATTTACTAATTTACGCATAACTTCTTCTATCCAATTCCCGCCCGTGAAAAACAATTCAAATTACCTCCTGGAAGCTTCCCACCCGAAAAGAACATTTTAAATCTCTTTCTAGAAACTTCAATCTCTGATCGCACGGAAAACGAAAGCAAAAGACAATTAATGCAGCAAAAGTAATTATTTGTACCCTTGCAGAGGGTATTATAGTTTTGAAATGATATATGTAACGCATAGAAGAAGACATCTTCGACGCCAAAAAGTAAATGTATTCTAGATCAGTATCAAAGGCAGAGTTGATATACCCAAGTCCGAACTAGTTTTTGAGTTTAAAAGCTTTCGTTTTGGAACATTCCATGGATGTGTTGCAGACATAACATATGTCAAAACCGGCCGGATCGGACTACAATATCATATAGAAACAAACGGTGTGAATTTAAGTAGAACAAACTTTTTATTTATCACGATATCTTGATAAACTACTTAAACTGTCCTCCTTATATATGTGCTTATGTATGGCAAAATATCCTAGAAAATATGCACTAATATTACAAAAGCGTGCTGTGCATAATGATTTGCAATTTCATATTTAAGGCCTTACAAAAAACTAGCGTACTTAGGAGCCATGTAATTAAGGTCAACAAGTGACACAATGTGCGAGTGCGTGTGTGTGTGTATGTGATGTTTGTTCTTTTTTTTTTTGATAAGGATTTTGAAGGTGATGGACGAGGGGGAGAGGTTGGTTCATAATTGCGCGCAAAATGTTGCCAAAAAGTTTTTATAAATTGTATGACATAAGCCAACGGTAGGCAGGCACAGGCGCAAAAAGGAAGGAAGGAGAAACTGGTGCAAATCATTACACACAAGAGCTTGCGGGCGTTGACAGTTGGCACTCCACACACAACCATCACACTTACACACACACACACACACACACACACATTATGTCGGGTGCCCAACAACAATGAAAATTAGCGCCGCGTTTTATGCAATGCCGTCGAGTCATTAACACATTGACATGGGCGTGCTGTGAGTGTGTATGTGTGTGTGTGTCTGTGTGTGTGTGTAAGCATTAGTGTCATCAACATTGCCGCCTACACATTAACACCACTGGGGGATTCGCACGGGCAGCGCGCTCTTTGGTCTTTAATTGAAATTAGCCGGCTCACAAAAAGAAAAAAAAAAACGAAAAAAAAAACGCACAATTAATTGCGCATTGCGGGATTAAAAAATTCATATGACGGTAAAACCAGATGAGCCGCTTTTTAATTAACAAAAGGTTGCCAAGGCAATGCTTTAAATTCTGCACAAGTCATAAATTAACCAAAAATCAAAATTAAGTCTCTAGGGTGAGGGTAATGATTTTATTAATTTCTTTACAAACAAATAAGGATCATATTCATTTTTTGATAGATACAGATACAATTTTAAGAGTTCACATTATCATAATAAGGAAGCAAGCATATATTCGGTCCCTCTTTCAGATATGGGAGAATAGTAAAGCTCGTAAATGCTGACATAATATTTTGCCATAAGAACCTTCTTTTTGACCGATCTTGC